AAAGGCATTCAGCATTGTTGCTTGTTTGAGTGTCTGTGTGGCTGCCAATGGACTGTCCCCAAAAGAACATTTTTGCATCTCAATAGACTGGCTGGTATCAAGAATCTTTAAACTATAAATTGAAGGCTGCTAAAGAAAGGGGGAAATAACATCTATATTGTAGTGTCTTGGTATCACATTTACAGAGTGAACAAATGATCAGACTAGGTTCACTTATCTAGCCCTCTGCATCTGAGCATCTCAAATGGGCTGACAAACAGTAATTAACAAGGCTGCACAACACCCCAGTGAGGGCTACAGACAGCAGCAGTCTCTCAGAGACTCTAACGGGAGATCCTGGGAGGCCTCCTTTGACAGACAGTAGCTCCACTTGGAACTCAAATCCCACAGGTCCACAGCTGAACATCTCCCCTGAACCCATGGGGCAAATGGTGCATGGTACCACTGCTAACATCCCTAAATAAAGTTATGCTGGAAAAAAAAAATCTCAGGCATGTATCTGTCCCTTAGATGCAAGAAAAACAGCTGATCTTATTAGAGAGTTTGAGGCCCGGTAACCTGACCAATTCTACTTCTACAAATGGAGCAGCGTTTACCTGAGTGTAGCTCAGCTCATTAAACCCAATTGCATTTTTAACAAATGAAAAAATCCATCTGGTATTGACAAAAGGCTTTGTGAAATTTCATAATTATTTTGTCCCTGTTACAGTCATTCGGTTAAAAAAAAATGCTTTCTGATTTATAAAATCCAATCTAAAAATTCATTATGAGAATAAAATCCAGATTTTCTCATCCAGAAAAAATAGAGTATACAGTCACAGCAGCCTAAGATTTTACTTAAACACATCAAATCAATTAATTAGTGCCTTTGTGTAATTACACATAACAGAAGAAACTGACTGAAAAGGTTGTACAATTGTACAGGAATCCTGACTACATTATACTATTTGGTTTAAATTGAGAAAAAGAAATCAATTGGAATAGATTAAACTTATTAACTTTAACTTTTCCCACAGGCAATGTTAAACAGATCAATCTCTTGGCAGAAACAACTTTAAATAAAAACACTAAGTTTTCAAATATGAAAGTTTGGTGACCACTTTCAGTAATATATTCATGTTCTATAACCAATGCCGTTCGTGCTTTAGAAGAGTTCAAATCTAAGTTTCCACAGAAACTTTTTAATTGTTGCAACATCTTTGTAATAATAACAATGGAAAATATGAAGACATCCATGAAATATATATATATATATATATATATGCTAATAACAAAAAGCTAAAAGACAAAAAAAAAAATGGAAAAACTGTCCTAGGCAGACAAGGTGGGGAGGTCGGGGGTTTTGTGAACACATGGGTTAAGGTGCTGATCCAGGCTCCCACGTCCCCTGACAGTCAGTCCCAGCTTCTCCACATCTAATTCAGCTTCTTGCTGGCATGCCTGCAAAGGTGACAGAGATGACCCAAACACATTGGGCCCCTGACACTCTGTGGGAGACCAACATAGAGCTCTGGCCCAAAAGTGGCTGTTGTAACCATTTGGGGAGGAAACTCGGAGATGGAAGATGGAAGATCTCAATCTCGGTCTCTGCCTCGCCTCCTTCCCCCTTCCAGTGCCCCATGTTTCTCTGCCTTGCAAATAAATAAGTAAATCTTACAAAAAAAAAAAAAAAGAACAAAAAAACAGGGAAGGTGAGAGGGAGAAAAGTAATTGACCAAAACGGTTCTAGGAGAACATATGAACATTTTAGTTCTTGTGGTACTTTTACTTCCTCCCTTACACTGAGGAATATTTCATATCTAAAGCCAGTAAAAACCACATCAGAAAGCCTAATATTCTGGAAACAACAATATAATATAATTGCAGCTATTCTGCCTACCTTGAAATGTTCCTGTTACTTACCATCACACATCTGATCAACTTTAAGTCAATGTTTTTAATCGACAAATTTGATACTTAAATTTTGACATGACTCTTCACGATATTTATGATGACTTTTAACTTTTTAACTCTTAATGCTACAAACTCTATGTATAAATGCATTAACAGGACACTCAGTCTATGAATGCTACACTGAATAGACTAATGAAAAATTCACCTTCACAAGCTGATATTTTCCATTGCTTACTATTTGTAAATAAATATATCAAATAACAAGGTAGTCAATTTCAAGTTTCATTCAACCATGGAAACTCAAATATTCCATTATATAGGTACAAATTCATACAGAAAAACATCTTCATTCAACCATGCCTGCTGAATTTATATGCTACCATTATGTCTTTCTAAATTATCACAGAACACATTCATTAACTACTAGATCTTTAAAATCACAAAATTAAAGTGTGCTAGTTTTGCCTTTAGTAAACCTGGCAAAGGGGTTTTGGATTGAGAAGTATATGTTTTTGTTATGGTATCTTATGAATACCAATGTCTGCAAATAAAGTAAAATTCTTATCAAATTCATGTGGGCTCTGCTTCTTGATTCATTAAACTGTTCTAAAAAACTTGCAAGTTAGTGCACATCAAGAATTTACAAATCAACTAGTAAACTCAGTACTGCACACTAGAATAAATTTGCTGTGTTGCTCGTTTGAACTATCCATTGAAATCGATGGCTCTTAAAAGTGCCAATCAAAAAAATATGGATATAAAAATCTCAAATTTCACCAAAATCACAAAAAGGTGTTCAAGGTCCTTTCAAAAACTATGTCTGTGTACACATGTGGATACACCCATTTCTGTTAAACATATTTAATTTTAGTAAATGTATATATATATATGTTTTTAAAGATTTATATTTATTTACTTATTTAATTGCAAAGTTAGATATACAGAGAGGAGGGGAGACAGAGAGAAGATCCTCCATCCATTGATTCTCTCCCCAAGCAGTCACAATGGCCAGAGTTTAGCTGATCCGAAGCCAGGAATCAGGAGCCTCTTCTGGGTCTCCCATGTGGGTGCAGGGTCCCAAGTCTTTGAGCTGTCCTCCACTGCTTCCCCATGCCACAAGAGGGAGCTGGATGGGAAGCAGGGCCACTGGGATTAGAACCAGCGCCTAAGTGGGATTCCAGCACATGCAAGGCAAGGACTTTAGCTGCTAGGCTATCGTGTTGGGTCCTATATTTTTTATATCAATTTAATTTTGACAGTTTTCTGAAGTTTGGGAGATAACAGTCTTTAAAGATCACAGGGTTAAGCATTTTGCTATTCATTGCAGAACATGGCTAACGAGTCTGTTAGGGAAGATTTCCCTTTTTGATAACGGTGTGTGCAAAAACTTAAAAGGCAGTTGAAACTGCAACATAAACTCCAAGTCAGGAAATTCAGAAAGATGGAATCACGAAAAGGAATTTTAAAAATATATATATATTGTCATCCCCCCCCAAATTTTTTTACTCAAAAAACCATTAACTCAGGCTTTTGATCTGATGAATTATTTATCATTCTAAATTCTTAAGAGTATGCAAAGCTGGCAGAAAAGGTAACATTCCAGAAACAATGAAATACTTAGTTGTCAAATAGACAGGTCATGAATTAAGACAATTCAAAACACAAGATTGGCTGCCACTGGAGGCACCTGGCTGTCCCGCACCCTCAAACCCCAAACATGATGTTAACAAGTGCTAGGATGCTTCACATCTGCCCCAGGAGCGGGGCTGGAAGCTGGAGGAGCCCTTGCAAGTAGTGTGTGCAGCGACAAAGGCAGCTAGCTCCCCAGCTGTGTCTGAAGCACTCTCTTGGAGTTGTGCTCCCGTTGAAGGGCATAAGAACAATTTCTCTTCTTTCCCAACTCACTCACCGGGAGCATGCTCCTCCCCTTTCTCAGTGTACAGGGCCATCCCTTCTTCTGTATTCCAGCCCTTCTCCTAGCTGCAGGGCATGACCACAGATGGGAATGGGAACGGCTTTGATAATTAACTGTGCACCTGCAAGGGCCGTCTTTCAGCTCTGCAGGAGAATACCTGAGACACACAGCGAGGCTTCAGCGAAGCTGCAGGAAACGAGGGCAGAGCAGCCCAGCAGACCTGAGCGACAGCAATATTTTTTCTCCCCAGCGTTCAGCCAGAGAGGTCTCGGTGGTCTCTGGTCCACAGGTCAAGCCACTGCAGCTGCATTTTTGGTTCAGTTGAGCCATTTTCTGACCAACCTTTGCTCCAAAGTAGAGCTCCGAAATCAGCTGGAGAGCCCAAAATTCGATTACAGTTAAGGTGAAACATGGAAGTGGTGATGCCTAAGGCAAAAAGCAGACACCACTTATTGTGTGCTCGCATGCCTCCAAAGGTCAAAAAAGATGTCTTGAAAATGAGTCCCGCACAGCTTGGAGACGGTAACGGCCCACCTTATCTTACTGGGAATGTTCGGTTCTCTTCCCACATGGAACTGTGTGTGTCTTTTCGGGAAAAGATCCTGCTGCAGTAAGAGGCACAGCGCTATCTGATGCTCTTCACAGCATGCCGCCTGAGGCTTTGCTCCTGTTTCCCCTTCTTGGCAAATAAACAGCAAGCACTGTCATTTACACATAGTCACACTGTGTGTGGGTTTACAAAAGAACACTGCCTCCTGTCCTAACCTCTCCCCCAGGATTTTACCTTTTCAGCGACGTCAATCTCTGCTCCCTTCCCTATTAGCCACAGACCATGTCATGCCACCTTCAAATTTACAAGTCATTTACTTATTTTCCTGTGACAGATGTGCATCCTTCTATGATACCAAACCTGCCCTCCCGGAAGGCAGCCCTGTTCTGCATAATCGCGAGGAATGATTAACCAACAGCAAATCTGAGCTAAGAACAAAGACAAACAACTGCCTGCCCACCACTGAATCCTGTACCCGGACAGCACACGCCAGCACACTGATGCAACCTTCTGCCATGGCGCTCTGCCCCAACATTTTGCTTCACAATGCCCAACACACCCACAGAGTATTGTGTCTCCCCGCCCGCCCACCCCGTCTCCCCTTCCAAGTAAGTGAATCATTTAAAAATTAAACCTTCCTACCCGTAACAGGGACTGGGATTCATCCTTGGCCTTGCTCTCTCCGGATGCAGGATACTGCTGAGTGAGGGCCCCGGACTTCTCTCCGCCAGCTGGCACCCCCTGCAGGAATCCCTTGGTCTCCACAGCCAAACCATAAATAGGTCTCGCCAGATGGGCCGCTTCTACATTGGGGCTATCCCTCAGAGTCTTTGTCTGCTCTTGGGTGCCGGACACGGGCGTGAGAAGCCCCAGGCTTGCTTGAGTGTAGGACGGACTGCCTCGCAGGATGTCCGCCCCTCTCCAAGTCACACTGCGGAGGTCATCCCCTGAACTCTCAGTCCAAACTTTCTCTTTGAGCCCGTCCTTCTCGTCTAATTTCTCCCTCTTCACTATGCTCTCGGGAACGGGCTCCCCCATTTTAGAGTCTGGGTTTAGCAGACTATAGACCTTGAGGTCAATCTTGGGCTCCTCCTTGATGGTGGAGACGGCGTGCCCCTCCTCTTCGCCGTTGGCTGTAGTGATGTCTTGCTCCTGGCAGTGAACAGTGTTGAAGTGCTCCAGTAGTGACTGAGTGTCAGCAGCTGTGAAGCTGCACTGGCGGCATTTGTAGCAGCTGTGTGCTCTCCTGGAGAAGAAGAAAACAGGCATTGGAAATCCAGCGCTGTGAAGGGTGGCTTTCCGTGGCGGTTCTGACACAGTCTTTAACTGCCTGAAGTTTAGCTCATGCAATGTGGGCAGAACAAAATACAGTATTTTCAACACCCAAGAGTTAGAATACAATTAACTGGCATTTTCCATCCTATAGAAAGAATATAAAACTCCTTTTGTTTTAATTGCAAGGAAAGACACGCACACGCTCCTGTGCAGACACTCGGTACCATCCGCACTGAACTGCATTGGCAGTATTATTGAACGAGCCGTTCTGCTTCATTTCTGTTTTGATGATTAATCATCAATTTTGTATCAGTTAAATCGATATTCCTATGTTTTAACATCTGATTCTATCAATGTACTTTTCACTTTCAATTTATTGAACCTAAATTGAGGAGTTTCTTTCCTGTTAACACACCTGCACTTCTAATGCTGACTTACTCTGTATATTTTTCCCGTGCAATAAAGTCTAACGGATGACAACGTCCTTTTCACTCTTGTTTTTAAATCTGCTTAGTAAGTAAAATGTAGCTGACAAATATACATAATGTAGAATGAAGCCTGCACTGAAAACACACCACTTTTCTAAACAAATCCTGTGTTTGTAAGAATTTACGGAACAGAACAGGCATCAAGACACCTGTTTTTGTGCAGATATGGTCATTCACAAGACACATGTGTGCTTGTACACATGTGAAACCAGGAAAAACCACTGGCTCTCTGGAGAGCATCTTCCGTCTGCAAACAGGGAGCAGTACCTGCTGCATTAGGACAGGTGTTTGATTACCAAACAGGAACACGCAGCTTGCACCAAAACAAGCATATCAGAAGCATACACAAAGACCTGCGACTGGGCTCCTTTCTTGAACTGTAATAGTCTCGTAAAGCTCCTTCAGCAAATGCCACACAAAACATTGTCTGTTCCCCCCTGATATAATGCATTATGATTTAGCAGATTATAGTAACAAAAAAAAAGGTAGTGAGCCATTACCTAAAGCTACTACAAGGGATCTACTTATACACGTAATTTCACATAACCTCCTCAAAATTCTAACCTTGCCGAATACCTGGTACACGCTGTTAACTAAACAGCATACAGACCTGGCCCACCTGGCGATCTGAGTCGTCAGCAGTGGCAAGCTGCTCATAGCATTACGAATGCATGCATAATTACAGAGTGCTATTGCGCTAAGAAGAAAATGCACGGGACAGTAATGAGGGGAGTGGGGCTCAGGGCTCTGAGGGCAGTGGGTAGGACTTTCCAAGGAGCACACAAACAATCAAAGGACTGAAAGGGAGCTGTGTGTGCCAGAGGGGGAAACACTTTCCAGCAGGTCTGAAATACTGAAAAGAGACCAATGAGACCTAAAGAAAGACTGGCCATCAACAAACTGGAAGGATCATTCAAGTTATGCTGACCCTGGGAAGGACCTGGGAAGGACCTGCAAAGCTTTACGGCAGCCACGAACAGGGCTAGACCAGGACCAAACATATGTGTTAACCACATTGGGCCTGCTTCAGTTTCATTATTAACTTCATCCCTGCAGGAGACACGTCTGAGAGTTCAAATTCCAAGAGATGCCCTCATGATACAGAAGCCAAGTTCCAAGACAGAGAGCATGCAATAGAAATCTCAACCAATGTTTGTAGAGAATATTTAAGGGAGACAAATACTTAGAGCTTTGTTTTGCTGAGTATTTATAGATACTTTACTTTATATACAAGGTTGTTTTCCATTTTTCCTTCTGCTTTTCTTCAATATTAAAGTAGTGGCAATACTACAGAAAAACTAGTTTTGACTGGCAATAAAAATACAGTATTCAAACTCATTTTCTCAAATAAAATAGCCTAATCTTAAGTAAGTAGGACTATAAGTAAGAGTAGAAATCTTAACTCCAATCTCAACAACAGAAATGTCGAAGACAGGATAGAGAGCAAGAATAAAAGGCAAGACCTAAAATCTATATCCCCAAAACTCTAGGAATCTTGTTCAGAGTTGTTCCAAAACCACATTCTAGAACAAACCAGTAGGAGATAAGCTCATAAATTCAAGGAAAACAAAAATGCATTTATCATGTTATTTAATATAAAAAAAATACCCAGAAAAAAACTCTACTAAAGATATATTACATAATCCATGGAGTCATGAAAATTAAAAACAACAATCAACTTCACAAGGCATATTAGAAGTTCTGATGAACTTTCAACTTCAGACAGGTCTAATGAACTCACTGCCCTCCTTGGCAGAAAGTTTGTAGTTCCTTGTCACAGTGAGACCTTTGTTAGGGATCTCCTAGGGGAATAAATTAACACTATAAATTACCACAGTCACTTCTCCTGAAACTGGTGGCTCTCACGCAAAACTTCCACCGGGTATGGCTCGACCCATCCCAGACACAAGGACTGCAAACACGAGGGCAATGAGAAACAGGAAGCATCGACAGACAAAGGAAGAAACACAAAATTCTACATCAACCATGGCAAAATTATTTCAAAAGGACAATAAGTTCCTTCTGAAGACACAATCTAGCACAAACAGTAGTCTCAACCCATACTGGCTGAGTTTCAAGACTGCCTCCGAATTTTAACTGTGTATGTGACTCATCAATTTACTGGACCTATCACAGTTTCCATGCCTACACAATGAAAACAGCAGTGAGTCTTGAAATGTTTTGTGAATATTGACAATATAGGAATTATGTATATGAGCATTAACCTGTACAAATCCTAAAATTAAACAAAGCTCCTCTGCTCCATGGGAACCTGAATTATGTTCTCTTTCTACAAAAGGGTTTAAACTTGTTCCGTGAAAACTTAACGTGGTGTTACTCTTTTTCATGCGTCATGATGATAATCATGATAAATATCATTCTAAGGCCAAGCTGTTTTCTAGAAGATTCTATGCTTTTTGTGCCCTCACTGCTCCACCTCATGGTATCCAATGAGCTGAAAATACAAGCAGTACAGCATGTTGCTACTTACTTGTGCAGCTCTACTGTCTTCTCATTACCAGTGGTCAGACCCCAGCCCTTAAGAATCCGGGGGACAAAGATGATAAAAACTTCACTGTGGTTTGTTGTAAACGTCTAGAGGGGTATGGAACGCCTCATGAAAGTAATCAATAAGGTGATTTTGAAAGAACCAACTAATATTCTAACTAATTACAACTAGCTGGCATCTATACCTATTTATTCTACAATCAAGACTTGTTATTGAGCTACTTCCCTTCAATACCAACACATGTTTGCATTATTTACACCTCTACCAGCCACTATGTCCTCCACCACTACCCATCAAAATACAGAAAAGAAGGGAGACAAGTGTCAACCAAGGGACAGAAATTGCAGAAGTTAAATTTTAAGAGAACTCAGTTTCACACTAAAGAGAAAAATATATTGTAACAGAAAGAATATTAAAATGAGCCTGTAAAAACAACTTCAATTCAATCACCTTTTCTTTCGAGAATTCAAAGCCTAAACACTTATGTGATCTTATGGTCCACTGAAGTATAAGGCCCCATTTCACAGACAATGAAATGGAAAATAATACCTTCTCCGTCTAATTTACATCAAGACAGCAGCAGTTCTAAATTCCAAAGCCATTTTGCTGTTTTCTGTCCTCTGCTGCCTACATTTCTAGCTCCATATGAAAATTAGTGCAGTTCCTTGTAACAGCAATAGTTCGCAGAACGGGTCTGCAGCACTGTGGTGCGAACCATCTCTTAGCGACATAAGTCCCAAGGCTTCCTGTCCTTCTGAATCAGAATGTCCAGGCATTACCCCGGAGACTCCGCTTTTAACGAGGCCTTCAAGTGACAACCACCTGCAGCCAGCACACCAGATATAGAGGTATAATACTAGGATATGTCAGGACTGTAAGCAACGTCACCAGGACACTCAGAAGACATCCCCTACCTGGCTGGAATTTACAGAATCACAGAAGTCCTTATATTTGCCATTCACAATTTTAAGATTCCGGAGATGACTGAAAGTCAACAATGAAGGGGTAAACTGCAATCTGCTCAATCCTTCAAGCCACTGGAACTTTCGCTAGGTAAAGGAGAACCAACAGATTGCTACAAAAGATCTCCTCTGTCTTGATAAACGCCAAGTTCTACATACATGCAGATGGCATTACTTTCAAATGTGTGGAGCACTCTCAAGCTCTCTGGACTGTGTATCACCACAAGGAACAGCACTTCTCTAACAGGCACAGGAGTCACCCGGGGATCTTGTTAAAATTCTTTTTCGGAATCCAAAAGTCTGAGCTGGGAGCTGATACTCTGTGCTGCTTGCAAGATTCCAGGTAATGTGGATGCTGTTTCTCCACGGATCACACCTTGAGTAGAAAGATTCATGCAGCCTGGCTGGAAATAACTTCAAGCTCAGTGTGTGTTAACCGCGAATGCACTGTCGGCGTTACATATACTCAGCAGTTTCCAGAGCCTTCGCAAATGAATTTTTTATGATGGGCTACATCACTTCCTTCTTCAGGCACGTAGAAATAGCACCCACTTCTGAGAGGCCACACTCTGCTTTATAAATTACAACTACAAATGGAATTGTCAAAATAATCCTAAACCATTTGCTTACTTTTTTTTCTATTTTATTGTTCCGAGATTACCTCTCAATATTCTTACATGCTAAGTCTTTTATAATGCTGCTGGCAAGATGCAATATTGTTGCTAGAGCCCACAGTTACTATTTTGTATATTTTCTTAGTGGTATCACTAGGCTGTTGAGGGATTCACCTGTAAACACTTAAGAATTGATTCTGACTGGTACCATTCCCTCAGTAACTGACAAGAACTTAACCATAATACCACACTGTCACTTCCAAAGAATAGGAGCAGCCCAAGGAGAAGCTGCTGTTCAAGAATAAATGCGAAGTCATTGTGAAACCAGCACGGTGTAGATGCTCCTCGACCTGGGGACTATGTTCTATCAGCTGTAATACAAAAACCTCAAAAACATT